CTCTCTTTTCTTTTTTTTGAACAAAGTTACAAATGTTTTCCAAGCATAGGTCCTTCACCATAGAACTGATCTTGGGAAATAAGCAATGTGGAGAAATGGAATATACATTAAAAAATAGATTAAATGACATTGTATAAGCGCATGTGTTGGAAGTAATGGTGCCACCTTCAAAGCACAAAATAAATAAGAATAAAGGTGCAATGAGATACCTTGATGTGATATTTAATTAGCCATTGATAGAGCACTACCCATAGCTGACTCCTACCTACCGTCACGGTATGTGCTCTTCACACTGCCATTAATGGTGTTATATACAAAGAAGCCAAGGTGGGGAAAATACACAGCTAAATAAAAAAACACAAACTAACAAATTTAAAAGAACAGCCCTTATTCTCTCTGCCTCCCACCCCAAAAGAAAAAAATCTTAAAACAAAAAACAAAAGACAAACCCTCTAAAAAACCACCCATAGGAAAAAGCATAAAAAGTAGGAGAGGCTTGAAGACAAAATAAAGTTACTTTTTCCAGCTATAAATCTCCTTCCTTCAGCTGGTGAAGTACCCACATACATGGACATCCAACTAATTAATGATTCTGAAGAATAACTTATTATAGAATTTACTGTGGTGTCATATGTTGGAGTTAAAAACTGGATGATCCCAATCCCATATTCCTGAGGTCCTCTGGTGGCACCACCTTCTCTTCAAATGTGTCAAAAACATAGAATAAATAACTCAGCCACAAACATCCACAGAAGCCCAAAGCCTTTAGCAACATTTAGAACAACAGGTGAATTTTCTGAAGTGACCAGAAGTGCTGCATCTACATCTACTTCCAGTGACACCAAGGCATTCCACAGTCATCTACAGAACTCTTGGGGTTTTAGTGCTTCCCAGTGATAACTCTTCAATCAAACCCACCATGTTGCTCCTATCAGCGTCATTCTGACATCACCCATGGTGAAGCAGGACAGTCCTACCCCAAATTTCAACCCCCACTCAGCAAACAACAAAGCTAAATCATAATTCCAGCAACCCTTCTACTACGTTACCTAATCCAAAAGATGCCAATGAAGGTAATGATCTAACTAACGTGCAACTGGTTTAATAAAATTATAATGCTGAAATAAAACAGTTTTTTTAAATCAAACTGGAGGCTTTATAAGGCATGTGAACTTACAAGCAACCTAGTACAGACTAAAACTAAAGCTCACCCCCAATAAAACATGTCTTTTTCAAATTATTTACTCTTTAATTCATTATTTAACACTTCCCAGAGTGGGAGAACCTAGTGACAGGCATGATCTATCTATCAGGTAACAGCTATTACCTATTACTTGAATGGACCTTCAAAGCGTATGTGTAGAAATTATGTTTAAAACATATAGCACATAAATTTATTAAAGTTCAGAAACTTTTGTGACCAAAGATGACTTGTTATAAACACTCCCAAAGGAATTATTCATTGTGCATTTAATTACCATGTTAAGTATGCGTGGGAAAACAATGGAACATAAAACTGTCATGGCACTTTTCTATCCTGCTCTTCTGAATCAGGTCTTCAGAAAAATAAAAGATTAGAAGGCACAGTAATTTTTTTGCATTAATTAGCTTTCAAGATTTTAACACAGGACTGAAAGTATAGTTTGTACTAAGAATTAAGGATCATAAGACTTTCATGTTTCCCATCACAGTTAATACATAGCTAATAATTACAATGTACCTGATTTTTAGATAACGTTGACTGAAAAGGAAGGAGAGTTGGAGAGCAACTTCAGTTCCAAGAAAAAAAATGAATACTCTGAAGAAAAGTTTTATGAAATTTGAGGGACATGAGTTATCATCAGAAAATCATGAATCAGGGCCCTCATCTTCTGCTCTCCCATATGTCAGAAAGCAGTTAACTGGACTTGCATGTGAGGGATGCTGAATTAAACCATGAGGTACTCAGTAGAGTGATTCAAATTTTTCAAGCCATGTATAAAAAATTATTGTGTTATTACTTCAGTTCTTCACTAAGACAACTCCCTGGAACCATATGTTGAAACCATGAGTTTCAGAGGCGCATCAGATGGCAAAACCAGCACAGCAGACAAGATAGGGGAAGACAATGCAGAGTGCCCATCTAGTGGCATTCCAATGGCTGACATCACACCACCCCACTTATATTCTTGCCTGCTATCTACACCCTCTCATTTCTTCCAAAACAAGCTGACAGTTGTTACCTTACAGCCATCACTGTGTAAACAATGTCTTGAAAAGCAAGGAAAAGTCACAAGATGCACCAAGATACAACAGGCAGGGCTCAGTAGCAGAGCATCACTCACCTACTTTGTAATTAAATTATCAACTTCTGGTTTTCCTGGAAGAATATTATACTTGCTTTCTTAGAAATTAAATGTACAGAAATAGCAAGCAGGTAAGATTCTGCTTTGTGTAACTTTGGTCAACAATTTAACAGAGAAAATTTGACTAGGATTACAATGATATTTTAGTATCGATACAAAAAAAACATCCTCAATTTAACTACTTTCAAGTGAAACTATTAAACTACCAAATATAATTTCTATCTGATAAACGACACAGGTCATTATTTTCCCAAATGTAAATTTGGGGAATTTGGGTTAATTTGTAATACTTTCTTCAGTGAATACGATAAGATTGATTAGGTTTACTTGGATTATTTAATTTGGATTACTTGAAGTTTGCTGGAGAATAGAATTACTGAGTAAAACGAGTTACATCTAACCTTTGACTAGATGACACCAATTTAAAATAATTATCAATGAAAAAATGGTGACAAGTTTCTATTCCTCTGTCAAACAGATCTGTTGTTTCAATTGCAGGCTAGATCTGCAGAAATGATTTAAAACGTGTCAGTACAGATTAGATAGAAGAAATACTTGATATGAGAGGAAAAGAATTATCTCTGATACATATATAGGTATCCTAAAAAGCATGGTACAGTTCTGTCCAGCTAAAGAGTAAAATTATGGCAGTATAATGCAAATAATTGCACAGTTTATCTGTTTGCAATTACCAGACAAGTCTAAATAGAAAGAAAGAATATGTAAAAGAAACAACTGTAAAGCCATAGAATAAACAAAATAAAGTGCAGAGAAAACTACACATATGTGATATGTCCTTGTTATCAGGCTATGCTAAAATGCTTTTGTTAGTGTGAGACTGTGGATCACATTGATGAAAAGGAGTTATCTCATTAACTGTCTATGAATGTTGCAATGAGATTTTATTCAATATGTGAGTAAATTACATGCACATACACTCCAGAGAGAAACTATGTCAGTCACACTGACCATGGAAAAAACAGGTATTTATTTAAAATATTAAAGATTTCAATCCATATATGAAGTTTTGCCATTCTTTTCAGGTTCAGTCATAAAAACAGCGTAAGTCCCATCAATACCAGAACCTGATTTCTAGCATTGTATCCAGCAGACGGAAAAATCTGAGACAGATTCACCTATATTACATGAGAATATCACTCTGATGCTTGAAATGAAGAAAAATGTAAAGCTCAGCTTTCACCTTCCTTAGCCCATATAATAACACCTTCCCTGTGGTAAAGTAGTGTCATACAAGCAAATTCTTCCTTACACTTGAATCTTGGCCTCAGCTGAAAATGGAAAGAGCTCTCTTGAAGGAGAACTTGAAGATAGAGATGAAGAGATGCTAAGAAGCTACCTGTGTTGTCTGCACCAGTTACCATATAATTAAATGCATGGTATTTTAGGAATTTTTGAAAGTAATAATTAATAATTGGAAGGTATTAATAGCAAGATTAGCAGTAAATGAAGAAGTATCACTGAGGCCAGTAATTAAAGTGTGCTCTTTAATTATATCATGTTGATTTTTAACAATCCAATCATAATTTTTGCATGTATGGGGATGTGCTTCTGTTGCCCATGTAACTATTTGATGTTGTTTGTACGTTGTTACTTGCTTTTACCATGCCAGCCTCCAAAATCTGTGACATTTGCTCTTATTTCACTTTAAGTTATAATCATAAATACATAAATATAGATATATAAAGATATAGATATAGATATATAGATATAGATATAGATACAGATATAGATATATAGATATAGATATAGATAGAGATAGAGATAGAAATAGAAATATAGCTGTTGTGTACCATTTCATTCAAAACTGTAAAACTCTGGTTTGAATGCAGACAGCACTGTGTATGTGAACTACTGTAACTGAACTACAAAGACAAACATGTACATTGGTAGAATCAATTGTCTCTGGTTCTATTCTTCTTCCCTATTTCCCAGCAGCAAAATCCTATTAGCTGCAGTGAAAGCTAATTATAGCAAGAATTTCACGCTGGAACCATTACATCTGTCTTTTATGGCACTATTACATTGACCTTCTACAAAAGGCAAGGCTGTTCTTGGTAACTCGACAGAGTCCTCTGTGGATATCCCCCTGCTTGACTTTGAGCCCCTCAACATGATGTGTCTGATGTCAGTGTGAACATAATGAGAGATTCAGACTAAGAATTTGAATGTAAATACCTTAATTGCAGTAAGCACTTAACATCAAACCTTTCCTACACTTTCCTCTAATGTGCTCCCATGAAACCATTCTCATTTATTCTATAAGAGTCCTCTACAAGATGTGATTTTTATATTGGCTCAAGAGCAGTAACTTAATCTACATGTTTTTCTCTAAAAGGACTTTGGCTTGAATAATATAAAATTCAGGCTTAAAGACATTTAGGACCCTAAAGAAAATCATTACATTAGCCATAAAAGGTATTACCCATTACTGGCATAGAAATTCAAGTTAATGAAAATGAAAATAATTTGTTTGTATGGCAAAAATCGTAATCCTTCTTTAACTTTTATCAAGAGCTATAATCTCCCTTTATCAAGTAATTATATAAAAGGATCAGCTGAACTTAAAAAAAAACAAAAAAAAACCAAAAAACAAGCAAACAAACAAAAAAAAAACACCAGTAAAAATGTACTTACCCCAAATTGCCATGAAAATTGCAAAGAAGACAGTCCCTCCATTATCAAACAAATGTGTAACCTGAATAAAAAAATAAATACATCAGGAAAAAAAAAATACTGCCAGCTCATCTTTTGCTCCAAATAATCACAGAGTACATAACTGGTGGCAGAAACCAAAAGCCAAGCATTCTCAAAAGTAGTACTATTAGCATGTTTTTTCAACCAAGGTTTTCAGTCACACTCTGACTTCTGGTATAATTTGAAATCTGCTGTTCCAGACTATCACTTCAAGCATCACCAGTCATTTTGTTTCACAGACACTGAGATGTTTTATCCATGTCCAGGCAGGCTAAAATTTCATCCAGAATTCTTGTCATATGGTAGGTCAAACTTAAGCTCAACCATTTCTATTTCAAGGTTTTTATGAGCTAAAAAAAAACTCTTCACTTTTCTCCCTGTACATACTTACTGTCTCTTGATTCCATTTTGTTCTTCTACCTAGATATTTTGCAATTTCTCTGCAGGTAAATATAGCATGTATTCCTTTTTATCCATACACCTCAGCCTCTCAAATTGTTAACGTTCTCCTTCTTAAAAGGCTTGTGCACCTAAACTCCAACAAACATTAAATTGTTTCTAAATATCATTCTGCAGAAGTGTCCATGATTCTAAACTGTGAAGTTAATTTCTTCCATGAATGCTCTTTTCTTAATTAGATTTACCCCTTATCTTACTCTTTGTTATAAGATTTTTGGTCAGAACAGCAATTCAACTGCAAAGTCTAAGGCTTACTGATTGAAAAAAAAGTATTGAAATAAAAAGTGCTTATTTATTTATTCTTAGTTCTATTTATTTGTTCATACTTAATGAAAACAAGTGTTGGTTTCAGTAAAAAATTAGGTTTTGCATGCCTTTTAAACATCTGAGTGGGTGAATTTGAGGTCTCACTTATGAAAACACCACAACTCATATTACAGAAATCTGAAATTTCTAATACTCTACCCATAATATGAAACACCATTTAGGAAGCTGATAAGAACAATATCCTTTCAGTAGATTTAAGATTACCAATTTATAACAATGTAATTTATCCAGGGATAATGTCCCTACATTTCTTCTAAAAAAACGGTGGTTTAAGATGTTGCTGGCAATTATTATGCAGAGCAGAGGCTTCAAATTCCTATTTGAAAAGCATTTAAAAGCACAAATCATTATAAAATACTAGAGCAAATCAGCATCACCACAAGAATATAAAAGAAGACCTGAAGAGAGAGAGAAAAGGAATGAAAAAGTGTCTCTGATATGTATTGTTCTAAACCATACAGAAAATTCATGGTGATTTCCCACCACCTGAAATAAGAAGAGAATATCTTGAGAAGGAATATCAATGAAAAGACTTTCCTTTCATTGATGCTGACTCTCTTGCTGACTTAAGAACCAATTTTTAAGTTTTATCATGAAAATAAGCTTATTGTCCTTGTGGCAATGGAAGGGTGCAGGTAACCAGAATATGTTTTGCTGTACTGTGACCTTCTCTGACACCTGAAGTTATATTAGCCAGCAGGAATGTTCTGTACAGGTGTGCCAGGATTCTGGGGCTGACAGCCTGCCTCAGGCAGGTTACCTAATCTGCTCCTGCAAGGGAGAATTCATCCTGCAGATTTTCATTCTTCTAGAAAAGGCCGGCATTACTACTTCTGCCACAGAAATTAAAAAAACTAATGTATGAATGCAGAAAAAGTTAATAGAGACTGTGTTTCTTTCCTCTATTTTATCTCTCATGGGGTAAAATTATTATAATATTGTGAGAATTTAATTAAAAACATGTATTTCATCTGCATGTCAGTTATGGTTTTATTTTCTTATCTTTTTAAGGTTCTTAAATGGAATTTACTATTTGGTATTGGAGATGAATAAATCCAATATCTTCCCTGCCAGGATAACACAGTGGGATCAACTGTCCATCAAATATATAGTTTGGTTTTTTTTTTCCTTTTGCTTCCATAAAGGAAAGCGCAAACATAATGGGTATGAGACTGAAAATATGAGAGGAGAACAAAATCAGCTCAATAAATCAGATTAATATTATTGGGTTTTAATGTAAACCTGTGTGAAGATGTGATCTTGGATATTCTGCTAAGGAAAGAGTGCATCTTTCCAAGAAAACACAAAATGAACCAACCAACCAAACCTAACCCAGTGGAATTAATGTTGCTAAGAGTAGAAAACAAATACTTGCTTCTCGATTTGGCACTGTCTTGTTATAGTGTTTAGATGAAAGTTTTATAGCACCACAAACAAAATTAAGACTTGACTCTCTTAAAGGCTAAATGCATGGTGTGAGACTCTGCTGATCAAGAAGATCAAGAAGGCCTCTAAGTAGAGCAGATGTTGTCACCATCAGATAAGATTTCAGGCCCTTCATATCCACCCTGAATCAACATCCTGCCCCAAGTCAAGGCCAAGGTGTGCTGGGTGCAGGACCAGCCCCAAGACCGTGCAAATCACCACGGATCAGAGTCCATTTAATGTGGATGGAAATGACAGCCTGATCATTCAGCCATTCAACTTCCAGGCAGGTAGTACCTGCCTTTCCCTGAAATTATAAACACCACTTCAGTGTGGCATTTTTAAATGGAAGTGGGAGGGGATGAAAGAAATGGGCAGGAACAAGGAAAAAGGCATCTTCTGTATTTTGTCTCTAGCTTTGCAAAACCTTGGCAGATAAAGCATTTGGAGTGTATGATTTTTTTCCAGCATTAATTAGTTCTGTCCAAAGTGATCCTCTGTAGGGAAACTTGGCAGATATTTAACAAAGAACACTGACAGCAGGTTTAATAACCTGAAACATGAGCACACACCCCTTACATAAATGAGGCAGGTCCCAGGACATAAACTAATTTGGGGAAATTAATATAAATTGGAGGAACTTACTGTTCCTAATTAAATCAATGTTTATGTACTCTACAATGAACTACTTGAATGAGTAAGGATTAAAACACTTATTCCAGAATAAGCGTGCTGATTCCTAAAATTATTCACAAATAGCTTCCCTTGCTTATTAACTCTTAGGTTATGTACAAGGTAGCCAGAGAAATAATGTTCCCACAATGACAAAACCAGAGGAAAATGCTTATAAGCTCCATCTAATGAACAAGAAAGAACCAGGAAATGTAATTTTCTTTTCCAGAGAGCAGATCCTATCCCTTATTTTTAAATATATTAGCCCCACTTGCTTATAGCACTAACAGTGCTTCAGAAAATACCATTGATTTGAAATCAGACAGTAGTTTTCTAGCATTACAAATTGTTTTAATTTACTAATTTGGGTGCAAACACAGTGGAATGCTGACACATATTTAGGTATTTGTTGCTCAACTTGAGCAACATGGTGGTAACCAGCAGAATCACAATCCCTGACAGAAACCAGGCAGTTCGTAACAGAGGTAGAGTGAAGCTTTGTTTAGAGACATCACAGTGAGTGAAGCCATTACATGATGACCTTTAGAAAAAAGCTTCATAAAGCTATTTTTGTTGGGTTGGGTTTTTTGGGTTTTTTTTGTTTGGCTGTTTTTTGTTTATTTGTTTGGGGGTTTTCTTTGCCATTTGCATGGCCAGATGGTAATCCTAGTCCTTCCCAAAGAGAATTCTCTCTCTCCCCCAGTTGGTGGAGATCCAGAACAGAAAAATCCTGAAAGGAGACATTTTTTGTTTGTTTTCTGTGTTCTAATGCGAGGTTGATCAGTTTTTCAGAACAAAAGCATTGGCAGGAAACGCTGGGAGCTTACATGAATTTCCATAATTGTAGACACAAAAAAAAAAAGAGTGCCTGTGATGATGGAATGTGAGTGGTTACTCCTTGCCTTCTCTGCTGGAATTTGTTGACAATGGCACCTACAAGCAGCAATTTCTCTTCTAGTCAGAGAAGAGGAGGAAGTAAGGATATGTGAGGGGAAAAACCACATAGTGACACCAAGGTCAGTAGAAGAAAAGGAGAGGGAGGAGGTGCTTCAAGTGTTGGAGCCAAGATTCCTCTGGAGTCTGTGGTGAGGACAACGGCGAAACAAACTGTCCTGCTGTAATGCATGAAGTCCACAGGAGACACAGAGATCCACTCACAGTCTGTGGGAAAAGTGCTCATGCTGGAGCAGGTGGATGCCAGGGAAAGCTGTGATCCAGTGGGAGACCGAATATAGAGAGAGAGAGAGTCCCTGCTTCCAGAGATAGAGAGCCCTTCCTTCCAAACTAGAGCAGCCTGGCCTTAAAAGACTGCACCCCATGGACGAGTGACCCACACCACAACAGTTTTGGGAAGATTGTTTCCCCGTGGGAGGGATGCCATGGCAGAGCAGAGAGAAGACTCCTCACTCTGAGTGAACAGAAGATGATCTTGGTGAGGAACTGACCAAAACCCCTCATGTGATGTCTCCCAGCACTGTTGGTGGAAAAGAGGGATGGGCTGGAGGGGGAAAAAAAGGTGCTTTAAAGGCTTATTTTAATGCTCATTATCCTCCTTTGACTCTGTTAATAATGAATTTATTTTATACCATTACATTTGAATCTATTTCGCCCTTAGAGTATTTTTCTCCCAGTCCTTAACTCATGAGCCTTCATTGATATTTTTTCCCTCTCCTCTGTCTAAATGTAGTAGGAGAGGGTAAGCAAACAACTTTTGTGGGTACCTGGCATTTGGCCAGTGTCAAACCATAACAGACATTAAATGCAAAATTTGCATGATTTAAGCACATGATGTCAGTGTGAATATAAATAAGACACAAAACCTGCTTCTTATTAACTGAAGATGTTAAAATAACAGGATCTACAGATAAAGGGATGCCACAATTTCAAATAATTTAATTTCCTGCTACAACTGCAGTGGATTTCTGAAGCAGCACTTATCATCTTCTAAAAAGAGGCATTTCTGGGATGGGTTGTATAGCTTGCATAATGCTGTTTCAATTAAGAATGCTTTTACCTAAAGTACACGTTTAAAAAAAAAATAAAAATACTTACAAAATCCCCTCATGGAACTATTTTCTGTTATATAGTTATAGTAGTATTTAAAAACAAAAACCACTTTTTTTTTAAAGTGCAACATTTCCAGTGGTATTTATTGCTGTTGTTACAAAATAACCTCTTAACTTTTGCATTATAAAATAGAAAATTAAATTTGTAAACAGTAAACATAAATAATTTTTAAAAATATTTGCACAGATAAGTTTGAAATGTTGAGTTTTACTCAGCATTGGTCCTATCTATAAGAAATTTTGACATCTAATACAAAATTGATTTTCTCTTTGACACTTCTGCAGGTTTTTTTTGTAATGCCATGGCAAAAAGACAACCATGTTTTATAAATACAGGCTTCTGAGACAGATTTATTCTATGGGATAAGGAACACAAAGATAAAAGCCAAGGCTGCTTTTCCAGCAGTATGAACACACCACACATCAAAATACATTGCTCATCTGCAAATTCTGCATGTACACAGAGGTCCTTGTGCTTATTTAAGTACCTTCTTCTTCACAAGAATAGCTTCTTGTAGCAAAATATTTCATTGTATAAAATCTTTGCATTAGTTTGACAGAACAAAGCAGGAGCAAAAATTCAAATGTAAATTAAGGAAACAGATCAATAAGACAGTTATAGAGGAAAGTAGGAAAAACTTTACAAAAACTTTTATCACGAAGTCCTCACAGGAGACTTAATAAGTTGATGAAAATCATAAGAATTTATTAATAAGGAAATGCTCACAGAAAGTACTTTTAGAAAAACCCCAGATAATTTCAGAGCATTCCCTTATTAGAAAGATGAATTACAAAGGCTGAAAACAACATCTGTAGAGAAACAACCTTTTTTTTCAGGAAACTTGGTTGAAGAAAGGGCAGCCATTATACAACCAAAATTATCTTGATAATAATGAAATAATTACCTTGGCATATATGCAGCTTTCATTGAGTTTTTGTAGTGTGCAATTGCGTTCACACATAGGGCACATAATGGTTTCATTTGCTTCGCAGATCTCTTTGCTTTAGTAGGAAATAGGAAAATAAAGGTTATAAAAACACTTCTAGCATTCCCAAGATTTTCTGAGGTTACACCATTTATGTTCTCTGTTTGTTAACAGCGCGTGCAACACAAAACGGGATGAATAAAATAAATTGAAAGTGAATATTTGGCTTGGAAAGCCTAATCCCAAATCAAGAACCTGCATACTATGAATACATAGAGTAGTACACAATATTTTTGGGCATCATGTTACACTTCTCACACTAGCAAATCCTCTCCCAAATATCACAAACAGAAAACCAAAAAATTGCTCACTACTCTTCAAATGCATTTACAGCCTATTTTTCTAAATTATGTAGAAGATACCAAACATTCAGAGGATAGACAACACTGGTATATTTACATTGAATTTCAATCAAATGACACCATTGATATCAGCTGAATGTTTGCTTCACAGGATAATAGTACACACACTTAGATCAGCCACATGCAAAAACCCACTAATGGGGATTTCTGGCAATAGTATTTAAAGTCTTTGCATTTTTATTTTCTACAGAAGAAGTTATGTATAGGACTAATGAAAAAACTCCACTTTAATGTCCCATTTTGGGGGTTAATATCTTCAAGCTACATTCTGGTGTTTCAGAATCCTAAGATTTAAGAAGATGAAGTCACTGTTTTCACTGGGACCATTCGTATTCAAAGCATAGAACAGAGCTAAGTGTCTCAACAAAGGCAAAACAGAACTAACAGAAGTGCAAAAATGAGTTTTAAAGCAAATTTTAAACTGCAGTGACTTCCTGAAGAACTTCAGCAACCACCTTTCCCTATCTTTTAGTAATGATAACATGCCTGAAATGATCCTGACACACTAGGGAAGTAGCAGTATAAAAGAAGTGCTAGGAAATGCCAACTAATTTGTTTTAATAAACATGGTGCTTTCATCTCTCCTTCTTATAAAAGCTGTATTTACATTTCTAATACTGTTTGGAAGATCATGCTTATTTCCAAATGAGTGTATATGTTAAATACTTTCTGGCATAACAACAACATAAATAAAATATTAAATGTAAATATTAATCATGGGTCATACTTTACGTAACATCAGAATCACCAGTTCACTGAAACTCTAAACAAAATGTGAACCTGACAAATAAATCATCCTGAGTAACTCTTAATCCAGAATGAGCACACACAGACATTTTAGAACAACATGCAGAACAACAGAAATTTTAATGTGTGTTGCATCAGAGAATTTTCTTACTTACATTTTTATTCAAATTATTGAGTGTGAAAAATCATATTTTAACCATGTTATGGTAATAATGGAAACTGCTATCAGTCATAAGGCCAAAATGTACTGTACTTTGAATTTAAATTCAAGATGATAAATACTACATTTTCTCTATTATATATCCTGAGTTAAAGTGCTGTTTTGTTTTTAGTAACACATGAAATTTCACAAAATCATATTGACAGTGATAGGTCACATGCTTTCACACTACTTTGCAAAAGCAATAACATTTGTTACACAAATGTTTGTGACAGGTGCTGTGTTAATTGTTATTGCAACTCAAATCTTCAGTAGAAGAGGAAAATAAGCTGCTTTGTACTGTTTTCACCATTATATCTGAAATCTGTCTAAAGCACATGGTGCAAAGACAGCTCAAGCTATGCTGTGCTCATGCCTGGCAGTTCTGTTTGATTGGCAATAAAGGAACAGTTTACAGCAGTGATAATTAATGATATCTATAAACACATTCAAAACCAAACTCTTTCAAGCTATCAGATTTACTTTTATAGAGACTAATCAACCCGAGATCGAACTTGGGAATAGAGATAGGTAATAGATATTGCACCAATTTTTTCAAAGAACCCAAATGAAGGGATTCCTATAAGATTATTTAAACCCTTCTGCTTGACTATAACTTCATATTTCCTCCAGTTTAGGTCAAGGAGGGCCCTTGGATCAAAATCTATTTTGAAGTGTATGAAACAAATACAATTCATTCATTCTTCATTTTTGTTTCAGCATGTCCAAATTCTATTAATATAATCTAAATGTCCTGGGAACTAGTATGGAGTTTCTTCTCTTGGAGAGCTGCCAATGACACACCTTTTTCTTCCACAAGGAGGAAATACTAAGGTAAACCTTGATAATAGTAGATTATGGCCCCTTGTTTCCCCTTTGTTGGAACTGTGCTGTTATACAAGTGATAAATACAAGATTGACAGTTCAATAGCTGTGGTCCCTGTGCTCTAAGAACAGACTGATCCTTGACTTTAGATCCACTGCATTTTGAAGACATTAATGGTGAAAAACAATTCTAATACAGAGAATATCTTAAAGATAACATCATTTCCTGGCTGTAAAGTTTATTGCATTTAACTGTATTTAATGTGGTTTGAATTCATACAGTTTCTCAGGAGTTTCCTGTACAAATCAAGCTTTAAAAGAAGTGTTCATTACAGCACTGCAGAATATAATAACTCACTGTGAAACGGAAGTTAAAGAAAACTCCTTAGATAAAACTTAGTTTTAAGTATATTTAAGAAATTTAAGTAATAGTATTAAGTATATTTAAACTTAAATACAGTCTTACTCAAAGCCAGAGAAACAACATTTTCTATGAAAACTGACTAAGTATTCATACAGCCTAAGCACCCAAACTGCTTGGAGCAACAGCTGCAGCTGTAAGAGCACTGAAACTGATACTGATACTGTCTGATAACATTTAATGGAATACTTTGCAATGTGGTGGATCCTCAGCGAGTTCCTAGAAGTAGAGTCAGCACTTCAGCACCCTCATCACGACATCTAAATTGACACAAACCCTTCTCAGAGCAGAATCAGAAAAGTGGGAAACTTGAAAACTTGGTTCATTTCACATGGCTGTAATCTCCCTGAAGCTGAGTCTCCTAGCTGCAAGTTACATTCACAAAGATAAGAATTTTGTTAGACTCCAAGTTTCCACTACTAATGAAGAAGGAAAAAAAGACAGGCAAAAGTTTAAGTTTAGAAACTGCACTAAATGTTGGAAGTCATAGCCAGATGGAGGTAATGAGGGAATATGTCTGTTTTTTCACCCATTAGCCTTAATTAGATTAACAACTATTTCAGTAACTGCAACATGAGAATTGGTTGTTACAGTCTGGTTTGTTTTCCCTTAGTGGAAATCACAGCAGATGCAGTGATAAGAACGGCCAATGCCAGTGGAATACATCTGGCTTGATGCAAAACAAATAAACAAAGTGTAAATAATTGACTCAATTTTCTATTTTGACCCAATATTCTATTTTGGTTATTTTTACATTATTACCATATCTGCAAAACATTTAAAAATACAGCAATATAAGTTGTGCCAGACTGTTCTTAATTTTCAACAGGTTATTGCATATTGTTAAATAGAATTTTACCTTACTTGGCTGGAATCCATTGTAAATAATCCATAGAGGAAAACAAAGAGCCCAACCAGGGCAGCAGGAATAAGCATTCCAGTATACCATCCCAGCCAGGCAAAATACAATCCAATTTTTTCACCAAAGTATCGCCTGCATGAAAAGAAAACACATATATTGTTTAAAACTAAATTTTATGGCGACATCTATCTATCTATCTATCTATCTATCTATCTATCTATCTATCTATCTATCTCTGCTGCCACAGTAGTAGAATAATTCTAACTACCACAACAAATTTATGGCAAAATTGCCACTTTACCAAACAGATTTTTTTCAGGTTAGCATAATATTTTAGTGACACTAATTGCAGATTTATGAGAACAATATAACTGTAGTGCCTCTGTAATCTTCATGTCCTTGCAATGACTAAGTAGATGGACTAGTAGCAACATTATTAAACTTAGGATAGAGAGATAGATGGAGAGATAGACAGAGAGATAGATAGAGAGAGAGATAGAGAGATAGATAGATAGATAGATAGATAGATGATAGATAGATAGATGGATGGATGTACACAGAAACAAAAAATCTGGAAAGGGACAAAGTTAGTATGACCTAAGTAATTTAAAAAAACATTTATGGTAGATAATTATATATAAATAATATGACATATTTTGAACTACTGTTAGTGAAAACGATGCTCTGAAAACACAAGCTGAAGACTGAACTTGAATACTTCAAAACTTGGGTATCAATTTCTAGAACACATGAAATAGCAGTGATCAGGAAGTCAATCAAGGATGATACAGCATAAAATTGTCCCATGGCACATGCTTAGCTCCACCAATAATCAGTTATGATTCGGATCAGGAATAAAAACTTACAGCAAGGAAAATGAATTATTGGTATTCAGTGTCAGAGGAGGAAACTGTGAACCCCAAATATCACCGCTGTTTACCTTAAATTATATACATTTCTCTATTTTACATTTGGTAACCAGTAATACTAAGTCTAAGACATATAAATAAGAGTTTATTTAAACCCACATGGAAAGGTTAAAATTGGGTTGCATTTTAAGTCCTGTGCATCTGGCAACTCTGACTGCCCATGTGGATAAGAGTCTGCTCTCAAAGGTGCTTTCACAAGGCACACGTGTCTCTGATCAGCTGACCACATTTTGGGTTTGTATTTTAACTTACACACTGCAAATTCCTGAGCAGGTGGAACTACATGTACTTTATGCAGAGTCATTTGAAATTAACTTATAAAAGACCACCAAAAAGAAGCAACTTAGAAAACTCCAGCCTTATCCAATAATGGGGAATATTTAAATGTTATAGGAAAGCATAGGGAATTTATGGATATAGTTAGCACACTGTTGCCAGGTTTTCTGTATCAGAGAAAATCTTCTAAGTACTAATACCTGATTAAATCAAGAGGTTGGTATTTGTACCACATTCCCCATCGTGCCCAGCGCTCATACAAGAGGTGTCTGTGATTCTGTGCTCCATGTGTTTTGATGGGATGTCTGCTTTTGTGGCTTCCCTGAAAAAAAAAATCACAAAGGAATGTAAGTACATTACTAGGCTCTATGGAAAATGTGTAAGTTTCTTAGGTATTTTTGATTATAAATGTTAATAGAAATGTTCTTTGATAAATAGGTCTCTTATTCTGGGCACATCTGGAACATGTCATCAGGAGCTAATGTAAGCCTGACATAAGAGACAGGGTTACATTCACTTCTGAAATCGCCAGCTTCTCTAATAATTAATGACTGAAACATATTATTAGTGCAAGACTTTAAAGAAGTACTCAAGTCTTTATATGACCTCAACATTGTTTCTATTTCACTAATAGAGGCCTACTTGTATGCTTTCACCTATTTAACTTTTTTCAAGAAATGCTTGTGGTGTATTGTGAGGTTGCAATGCAAAATATAACTAAAACTATGTATTCTATAGGTGTTAAAACCAGTGTTCTTTCTCCCTTCCAGGACCCATCCCTCATAACTCCAGGGGGATATCTTCTGTTAATGGGCCATTGAGTCTCACTGCAGGACTGATAAAATTACATCATCCCGTTGGGAGATGCTCCAGGGGAGGAGCCAAGCATTCCTACCTGGATATAATCTGAAACCTGGAACACCACAGTCAGCCCTTTCCCACTGGATTCCCAGATCAGACTGTTCTACTTCACTACTGGACCTTCAGAGGAAAACTTCTACAGGATCATTGCTTCAACAGAACCACATCTGTTGCTACAGGAGTGCAGCCACCATTTAATCAGACTGCTACCAACACCCTGACTAACAGGGTGTCAGGTTGTATTCTGACTCTGTCAGTATTTTTTGTACTACTGCATTTTATTTTAATTTTCTTGTTAAGCTGTAGGGGCTTTTTTTTTTTTTTAATACATACTAGTAAAGAACTGTTATTCCTACTCACATACCTTTGCCTGAGAGCCCTTTAATTTCAAAATTATAATAATTTCAAAGGAGAGGGTTTACATTTTCCATTTCTAGAGAGGCTCCTGCCTTCCTCTGCAGACATCTGTCTTTTCAAACCAAAACACATATTTTTATTTCTTCTAAAAAATTTTAGAAATTTCTAATTTGTCAGCTCCCTTCTAGATATTTCTATTACTTTCTTTCACTACAGTTGAAGGTATAGAACCATATATTTTTTCTATGATATATACTTTCGAAGAGGAAGGAAACAGAATTGGCATTGTTTTGCAGCTACATAGGACTCTTGAGACATTAAAAGCAAAACAGAGTCAGTCTGATCCAAAAGGAATCCTTCCAGGCCATGTATGACATTTACAGATCACCTAACAGACTAAAAGGATACCCTCATGCTTGGCAGTCAAAAGGTAACACACAGATTTGCTAGAACAATCTTGAGCAGAATCCCTTGCATTTGTAATTTTGCTCCAGTTCTGAAGCAGAAGTTGAACTTTTTCCCCAAAAAACTTCCATCACTCAGCTATGGTAAAGAAAATATTTCATCAATTGACTGCAGGTGAACCAAGTCATTTCTTGTGAGGAGTGTTCTCCAGTGTGTACTAAGCCATTTAGATTTTTATCATGTATTTGAAATATTGATCATTCCCCGCAGTTCAAAGAACACCATTTACTTGTTGCAATCTGCTGATTCTCTGACCTAAGAATGAGTTAAAACCAAAGCTAAACATAGCAAAGAGTCCAGGTCTACTCCTTTCTCCTTACAGTCATCAGAGCAGCATACCAAAGATGTTAACACTGAGTGTGACCTTTGCAGCATCTAGGAACACCTAGGAAGAGAACATCAACTTATTCTCACAGCAGGCTGGATAAATGACTGCAAAGCATTACCCAGTATTATATGTTTTAATTTTTTTTCACTGCTTCTTTCTGCATTGTTATCCATAAAATGAGTTCAAGTCTCAGCATTCCCACTGGGATTAAACTTTCACCCTTATTTGTTCATGTGGGAAAGAAAAAAAAAAATTAAAAATTGAGTGTTCTACCACTAGTCCTTAGCATCAGTCAAGAAGCAATTAAGAGTGGCTTAAAAATATGATTTCACTAATTTTAACTGAGATGTGGAAACAGTAGCTTATGCCACAACAAAGGAACATATAAAATTGATATGACAGCACAGCTTTGATGCCAGAGGAAGCTTCACAGGCTTTTCTGGTAGCAAAGCCAGTTTTTCCCTGAAGTCAGTAATGCACAGCTGAAGCACTAACAATGATGTTACATTATTTATCTAAAATATTCCTTCTCTGTATTCCTGGTATTTAATAATTAAAAATTAAAGCATTTAATAATTTAAAAATTACTCTCAGCCATTTGCAAAGCCTTTGAAACACAAAACCAAGTCACAATATTCAGCTGAAACACCCAGAGTTCGGAGCTGCAATTACCATGTTCCTGAGAGCATTTCAAAGACTTGTGTGGCTTGCTTCTTCTTTTCAACATTTCAAAAGATTTTCTGAAAAACCCTCTTAAGTCATACCCAGGTTTTTAGTTTATTTTTTGGGTTTGCAGTCTTTAGTAGACTTTAAGCTACTGGAAAAAGTATTGCCAAGTAGAAGTTATCCAGAACTATTCTGAAAATACTAAACAGGAAATAATTAAACAGTCTCCCTAACTGTGATCAAGTGGCCAAGCTATTAGAAAAACAAAACCTTTTGTAGGTGGCAAGCAAATGTAATTTAATACAACTAACTGGAACAAATTGGAACAACTAATTCTCTCCTTAAGAACTCAACAGGCAATGTCCAGTTCATAAAAATCAGAGAAGAATTATAATATCCTAGTCCAACCAGAAAATGTTCCAGGATGTTATTATAATATCCAAATTATCCAAATACAGATAAAAGCCAGTATTAAAGTAAAAGCTATAAATAAAAGAAGCATCAACAAATTAAAATATGAAATTAAAAGTTTGCAGGCAAAATTAAAGTAAGATCCCAAGCCACTAGTGCAAGCTTTAATCTAAATATGAAGCTAAAAATCAAATTAACCAGGTTACCTCATGTGGTGGGAATGCTGCTTCATATGTTCCATTATTTAGTAACCTATTAATACCTAAAAAAATGCAAAAAAGTGTTAGTTCTGAATATCAATTTTTTTATACACATTTTTCAAGTAGTGTGAATTTTCAAGTTACATTTGGAGAATGTAACTTAGTGTTAAATGCTAAGAATGCTGCTAAAGATGACAATCAATAATCCCACCAACTACTTCAGAAGGTATTGCTGATCCTTAAAGATTTCTGGTTCTGTCAAGCTAAACACCAAAAACTTGCCAAAGCACCAAAGTTTGAAACCTTTCTCTTAGTGTTCTCTGGAGTGTTTGTACCATATTGAGAGTGAGAAGATAGTTACATTCACATTGTACTCCTCAGAGCATATAATACAGATTTTATGGGTGATCTGATATACACAGAGAGTGGTATGTATAGACAATCCTTGAGGCAGTGAAACCCCTGCAGGGTTAAAAGCTAACCTGGTATTTTTAAATATAAGCCAGCTGAGAATTTCGTATCAGAGCCAGACTGCTCTCATCATCATCTCTGTGCCAGACTGACTATTGCATTTTGGATCAGTTCCTAAAACCAGATTTGTTGTACTTGCACAGCACATTATAAAAAATGAAAAAGTAAATAACCATTGAGAGGTACAATAAAAAGATTCAACAGCCTTTAAGAGCAGATTTGTAGCCAAAAGTTTTCCCAAGAAACACGCATGTATGGTGCAATACAGATTTGTCTCTTCAAATATACAAATTTTTTTAATCTCATAATGAAACTTGTCATCATCAGCTGCAAAGGTGTTAGATATGAACACTTATTCTCCCTGGTTTTTTTAATACTGCTTTTGTTCAGAAAATCAAGCAACAACTTTCTGTAATTGGTATCATCCAAGCCTCTGCATATTTAATCCTTTATTTAATTCCTACAGAAAAACCAGAAAATCATGCATACATCCCTTGGTCACTGAAAATGAAAATGGGTATTTAGACCTCCTAAAAACTAACAATGTATTATGAGTGTTGAAATAAACCAAATTTAGTCTTCAGATCAACTGTCTCTGAGACCTCAAATAAATCAAGCAGAATCACACATTGATTCTGCTGGACTGAAACTGATGGATAATAGCTGAAATATTAGGATAGATTGGATCAGTCCTTGAAAACACTGTCAGCTTTCTGAGGTATATGTAACCCTTAATGTGGCTCTCAATAATGTAAAGTTATGATAATCTCTCCATTTTATTTTAATGAATGAGCAATTAAGTTAAAAATACTGCAAATTTTCACTGAGATATTTAGGTAGAAAATGATGGGACATTGCTTCAACTCTGTTACTGCGTGAATGGAAAGATTTCAAGAACAGGAAAAAATTAACTGAGTTTATTCAACTGATAATTGAATGGCAATTAAAGATGAAAAAATCTATAGCTTTGGGTTAGGTAAAAAATACAGCATTCTCACCCATTTTGGATTTTCCATCTTCATACTTAGTTCTCTGTAGCACATGATGCACAATTCTACTTCTTGTGGAATTGCTGAAGAAGCTGTCTTTGTTGTTTATCGTAAAACTATTAAAATAATGAATGTCTTAATATTCAAAACAATGCACACATGTTGAAAGATTGCTGTTCAAGTGTTTTCTTTTTACAATGATTTATTCGATGTTTACATTCCTTAGACATAAGATTTTACACCCTTACAGCAGGTTGAATAAAGTTACCCTTATCACAGATTATTTTGGGAAAACAAAACTAAAACTAAAACTAAAACCAAAAATATCCTACTATCTAGTTAATTTCTGTTCTGGATATAATTAATCAAATAAAGATCTTCAGAAACAGCGGTGACCTTAAATTCAAATTACTTATGGGTTGATAGCTGTCTGTGTAGTGGAACCACCAAAATTACTATTTAAAAACAAAAAAAATAAAAATCCATGCATTGGAGACTTGGTTAGAAGCTCCACAACCATGTTCCCTTAGAGGATCCCAGGATGGAGCCAAGTAAAGCATCCTTGGCCAGATGGCTCCATTCTGGACACCAGAAATCTGATATGCAGGAGCTTCTTCCTGCTCAGCTCTGCCATAAGTGATGCTATTACAATTAATTACATAGCTGAGCTGATTGAGAAGAAAACACCCAAAGCAGGGGATTGATCCAGTGCAGTATGCTAAGTTACTGAAAGAAGAATAATAAAAAACAAGCCTATAATGCAATTACTCTATTTTTCTGAGGTAAAGTCAGTTCACTATCATTTAGCTTCTTTACTGAGTGGAAAAATCCTGTTTATCCTTATTCATATTTCTACTTTAAATTAACTTTTCTCTCCTACAACAGTTTTCAAAAAATAACTGTAAAATTAAGAAACAGAATTTTAAAACCTAACTTTACAGGTACTGAAAAAATTTATTTCACAGTTTACCTACAGCATCATCAACATGCTGATTTGAACACATACAGCTTCATTGTGTATATATATTTGTATTTTCAGAGGCAAAAGACCTTTTTAAATGCAGATCTGATAAGAGAGAAAAATCATCACTGGTTTTAGCTTGCTTCCAAAAATTTGGTGTTCTGAATCTCAACAGCTGCATCAGGTTTTGCCTAAGTAAAATAAGTAATAAGCACAGAAAACTTGAGCAAGTAACTTGCATTTTGTAATGTAAGGGAAAGAAAAACAAAAAAGACTTCTAAACTAAAATGGCAACATTCACTTTTTCAGTCTATTTTCAGATTATGTTACTGAGTGGCCATCAAATAGCAAGTAACACAGAGCAGATTTTCACATTGAGAGAGTAACATCAAATATGATACTTGCTATCGCCACTGACCATCTGTTAGCAGCCACCTCTATGGCACTTGCTTAGAAGTGAGAAAACAGAAAATCCTTGTGGTCTCTGGCACTGTTTTTCCAGTGCCAGCACTTACTGGTGTATTCGTGCACGGCTGAAGGGCGCTGTGTAACAATCTGTTTCTTCCAGATCAGGCAGGGCCTCCTTATCCAGCTTCATCGGATTTCTCGGCAACCAACTTTTCAGCTCTCTAATATTTCTCTGCAAACTGAGACAATAAGAAGTCAGATTTACATGCTCTCAGTTCCTGGTTGTTTCTACCTCCAGCATTGCATATTTAGTGAAATCATACTAGAAATGAAATTAAGTGAAAGGTGGAAAATTCCACATTTAGCTAATAAAGGAAAAGAACGTGTTTAAAAGCAAAATGAACAATATTTATTTGCAATCCATCCTGAGCACTTTACTTGAGTAAAACTCAACCTAAAATTAGTGGGATTATGGCTCAAAATGGGACTGCAGTATTGAGTCTGGAGAAATAAATTCTCCAAGGCAGTTCACCTGGCAGAATTGTGGATGCTTCTGCTTCAGTCAAGAACATACCTAACCACACTGAATAAAGCAAGTGAAAATCCTCCTTGCTCTCTTGCCTGGCAGTGTGGACACTAAAATTCATAAAGTTTTTACGTAAACTTGAGAGTACTAAGGATCAGATTATGTTTTTCAGATTGCAACAAAGTTTTCCCCTGCAAAACTTTCTTAAAAAACCAAGAGCTGATATTGCCTTATGAAACTGTACACCTAAATATCAACTAAAACAAAGGATATGTTACACCAAAATGGCTATGTAGTATTTAGGCAAAAAACCCACCCAGATATGGCTTCCTCCACATTCCTAAAAATTGATACTACATAACACAAATAACATCAATGTTGTATCTTCAATTAAATTATAATTTTTTATTATAATTTTTATTTTATTTTGTCTACTGGTACCTTGCCTAAATGATGTCTCAGGGTATCATTTATACACTGGGAAATCTAGTCAAGTGCAGTTAATTTTCAAGCAAATGCTCACTTCAATTTTGTACTCTTTGCTCACCTATATTTTTTCATATGCAACTACAATGCAACATGGTTATTTAAGGAGTAGATTTCAAATAAAACAAATGCTGACACAATAAATACAAATCATGACACAATAAGCATATCAGAGATTCAGAAAAAGTCTAAATTTGAGAAAAACATTCCCTAAATAGCATTTTTTCCAGTGGAATTTGGATTCTACTCAATGAATATATATGCATGATATATAAAGCATATATATTATTTATGTTTTATATCCACAAGAAGTGTAAAACTAAGCAACAATTTTTTTCCCCTGAATACTTCACTGCCTGTGCTAAACAGAAGCACAGCTTCACAATTCATAATGCCCATAATAAAAAGCTATATTTCATAATGTTAATAATATATCATAATGTGAATGAACATAATTTCGTAATGTTCATAGTGAAGTGCAGTAAGTGATGACACGGTAAATTGCTCTCAGGCAACAAAGCAACCCTTGTGAAAATGTACTTCTTATTATCAACACCAGCAAAAACATTCTACTCCTATTTCACACAGATATAAATTTCAGCCAAATGTAGGAGAAGGATTTTAGAGTTACATTTAAAATAATGAAAATTTTCTTCTTGCTATATATTGCAAGATATTGGTGCACATTCTGTTGTGACTGATACTGTACTTGAGGGACACCACTTGTGTTCAACACCAACCATTATAAGCAAAAGAAAATAATATGTGCATGAAATTGAAACACAGAACACAGTTCACATTCCTTAAGTGTCTCCTTAATAATACCTTAGTGAGTTGATTATCTTTATTAGTTCCAGTGAAAGTTCTCTTAGTACAGTTTATATAAGTGAAGTTTCCCCTTTCTTCTCTTGAACATTTTTTTCTGTTGTACACTTGCTGACTTTTTAGTCAAAATCCAGAATCCTTTTTTTTAATGAGGAAAATATGCAGATGCATCAGAAAGAAAAGAAAAACAATGTATCTAATTTCAGGTTTTTATATTATTAAAGTACTTTAAAATTGGTTATGGGATCTTACTGGTTAAGTCTTGATCATTTCTCCCATACAAAAATCTAAAAAATACTAGATAAATATTATGTTAAAGAAGATAGCTCTTGTTTTAAATACATGGCTGCTTCTTTTAACATGAAAAGCAGGATTGGAATAAATTAATGTTTGTGTCCACATAACATTTGCAGTTTCTCTTCTGAGACAAAATGTAGTGCCTTTAGTGCTAGAAAGCATAGAATATTGCAACTCAGAAATGTATAAAAATGATCCAACAAGACAGACATTTTTCCTTATGCTATTTACTGTAGAAGAAGAAACTGAATTTTCATGGAGCTTGCCTTTAAATACAATTTTTTGCCTAAATCATTGGACTGAGTATTAGCATTTTTACTCAGAGTGGCTTTCTAGGTTAAAAGTAGCAGTTTAAACAGATCCCTGACTTAATCTATTCAATATAGCTTATTTAGTAACAGTAAAAGCAGAGAGAGCTGGTCTGGGGAAGTCAGTAATTCAGGCAATGAGATAAAAAAACATCCCAGTGGAATGGTGCTGCAAAGTTATGGGAGACTGCTTCAGGTATGCTTTTATTGAAACCACTCCAGCTGGTGCTACTGGAATACCATGCACCTTGGACCAAGGGCTAGTACTTTGAAATTCATGTGTGTTTCATTTTTAGCTGTACAATTTAATATTTTATGAAGACATTCGTAATTTCAGCTTTGTTCAACTTTCATTCTCAGTTGTACCCTTCTGATTTATTTGGTTGGTTAATATTTTTTTGCAGAACAAGTTCATCCAAAAATCCTTGTAGATTACATTTACCCAGGACTGCAATGCAAAGGAACACCGTATATAGATTATCTCGGCATTAGATGACTAAACTCATGGTATGAGATACCAGAATTAAGCAACTTCACCAGTCATGTTAGGGAGTTTTGACAGCAACCAACACCCAGTAATTTGCTTGGTGTTTGTGTCTCTCAAGACTGGCCAGAAGTGTCAACTATATGCCACCAAGTTACATGGGCATGGTGTGTTTCCATGTGCTCTAATGGGAAGCAGGTTAGGGTTGAGAGATTCAACATACAGAAACAATCATCAATAAAAAAAAGAAGAAAATTATAATGCCTCTGTTTAATGGAATTATATCAGCAATTTCACTTCAGCATGCAGACTGAAATCTAAAAGATTTTAAATGTCCTTTTGCAAAGCAAAATTACTCCAGGTCAGGTGCCAAACAAAGTCAATTTTGGTTCTCTGTCCTTAGAAGTATTAAGTGATTTTAACATTTTAGTGGGCAGGGTAAAGTTGCATACTAAGACAACTATCATTCCATTTTCTTTTCCTTGATGCCATCCTTTACCAGCATGAAATCAGCAGGCTGAATGTGGCAATTACAAGACAGTTTTACTAGATTATTCAGTCTTCAATCTGAGAGTTAAGACAGTTTTTGATACCTACCCTATTTACTTGTACTTTTCTTTTGAGAAGAAGAAGGCTTTCCAAATATTGCTCATAATGAATATGAAATATGAATATGAATATGAAATTTATTTCTATAGCGTGATTCTATGGATAGAAATCAAGCTTCATGGAATTAAATACAATGTTATGGGCTTTTTAAAGGTGTAAAAATAAATAGAAAGACACCACATAGATACCACGTAAAATAAATTAAATATTACATTTTCCTTGTCCTTTCATTGAGGCACCCAATAATCTTTTGCAGACCTTTTAAAGAACATTTATAGATACATATATATCTATCATATAACTGTATCAACAAAGTTAGAGAAGTGTACATGTCACAGCAGGTCTAATATACTAGGGTTACTTGATATTCCTAAATTATAGAAACTTTATAACCTTAATGTTTTGATATACAAGATTTTTAATACAGTTCTTCATTGTAGCTCATATAAACTCAACTTAGAATTTTTAACAAGAGATTGAATAAACCACAAAGAAGTAGTTGTTTGAAAGGTTTTAAGATGCAAGGTAACAATGACAGTTGTAGATGTTCAAGTATGCATGCTATGTGTATGTCAGCAGTTTTAAGAGTTAGCTTTCAATTTTAAATATATTTAAATTTTAAATATAGCTTCTTTCTTTATTTCTTCTGTTTCACACATTTCCTTTGTGCAGTTATATAAAGCACCAGAAAATATTCAAAATATTCAAAAATATTCATACTCAAACTCTCACAAAGGAAATCACAGGTAAAAGCATTTATCTCAAATACAAAATCAATCTGGCATGAAAATTACTTAATACTCAATTCTCAGGTACTTTGCAACTTAAGTTGCATCTCTCAGACATCTGTCCCTCTAAATAAGGAAAACAGTATTTATGTAATATCCAGGACTCACCAGATGGTTTATAGATGAAATAAGACAATTTTGAAGTAAAGCTTGTTGATTTTACCTTTTAGTAAAAGCATATCACTTAGACTTTTCGTAATGCATGTAAAATGGAGCAAGCATGTGAACCAGGAAGAGGACAAAAAACAGTTGTAAATCTATGTTATAAATTAATTTAGTTCAACATATTTTATTAGTTTATATGTTTAAAGTTTTCTCACTTTACCATTCAACATTCTATTGCTGCTAGCTGATCATCTTGGAAACTGTTGAGACTCCCTAAACTGTCCCAGAGAAATGAGAGCTCTTTATCATCTAAAGTAACAATAAGAGAACCCAAATCAAAAGCAGTCTCATCTCAAGATCCTTCTCAAGAAAACAGGGAACTCTTCCAGGAGATTTCCCTCAAGTGAAATATTTTCATGTATCTTTTCCACCAGGGATTCAGATTTACAAGATATAATTACATCTGACTAAAGTGATGGGTAGTAGCTACAGCTCAGTATCCCCCATTCTCACTCCCTAGCACTCCCAGGCTCCTCTCACCTGCCCCTAGAGCCTCTTGTGCCCTTCTGCTGCCTGACAAAAATACTAACAGCAGCAGCAAGCTGCAAGGGAGTTTTGCAAGTTACTCTCTCAGCCAGAAAATAAAAATTCAAAGCAGCCTTCAGCATGTGGTATTGATTTGTTCCTGATGATGAGGACACACAGGAGAAAAAGTATGTTTGCATATCTAAGGAAAAAGCTGACTGCCAGAATCTGAGAAATACACTCAAAAGTATCCTTCATGCTGAAGAAGTATGCCTTTGTGTCAGCAGATATAAAGGCAGAGGTAGATCTGGTATAAAATCATTGCTGTGAGGATAAAGTTTTCAGTTTGGTGGTTTTTTTTGGTGTTTTTTTTCTTTCCCTGGCATAAATATTTTTACATCTCTAAACAGAGAACTGGCAAAGCTTTAAAGTACTGCACCTTGTTATGGATGAATATTTTAACACTTTGAGCTGACATATTTTGAGGTTTCAGGAAAATAAATCTTAATTTTCCAAGTTTCACGGATAAATTTACAACTGCAAATGGGTTTTCTTTAGCAGGATGGCTATCTGACAAAATTAGAAGCTACATATCACCCACCAACCTGCCCATGGTTTTGCTCCTCCAGTCAGTGTAATAACATTTTTTCCTGAAAGAAAAGCAAAAATCAGCTGAGATTAATCAAGCAGGAGACAGCTGAAAAGGACATATACATTAAAAAAGAATGCTACACATTTTAAAACATAACATTTTCATAGACAAAATGGTGAAATACACTTTAAAAAGGCAACTGAAATAGAATAAGTCACTACAATAACATGGTTTCACATTTTTCCAGTTTTACCTTTGTTTTAAAATTACATTTTAGGTTTGTAGCTACTGACAATAATGATAGCTAATCAATAAGTCACTTAACAGTTCTTTTCTCTCCACCCTTCACTGGTTATAGACACTTAGAGAAACAAGACCAGAAATTCCCAGTAAAGTCTTCTGAGAACAGTTGTTTTGAAATTAAATGGAGACATATTTGCTGCATGGTTATATTTTCCATATCTAGTTTCAGGTTTTCTGGCCTCCTCCCATAATTTCACATCACATTTTAACCACACAAATGCCTTGATATTGCAGATCCCTCAGGACTTAGCAAGATCTGCAACTGCACACCTGGGCAGTATTTGAGATTTATTAAAGTACATTACTGGCATTGAAGATCCACTGAAATGAATGCATTAAAAAGAGGGTGAAAGACACATTGCCTGGAAAATACATGGCCATTGGAAAATTATATATCTACCAATCTGCAGACTGTTGGCAGCCTGACACTTGTACTGCTAGGCAGAACTGTAAATGGAGCAATGAAGTGTTATTAAAGGGTTTTCAGATTTATTTTTTTTTAACAAAAGCCTTCTTTAATTCCCTTTAGTTACCTTATTTTTTTTGTACAGATGGAGTTCAGCTAAATTACAGAAACAGTAATAATTACGTGCCAGAAGATACTTGTAGACAAATAAAATTAAAGCTTTGTCTCAGTTCTGGAAACATATAGTAGTTGTATTTCTATTGACAGACCACGTCCTTAGCAAAAGTACCTATAAAAGCTAAAAAATTGTAATTCAGTCATGATTTAACTTTGATGCTTATGCAAACCCTGTTTGAAATCATATGCATATGCTTCCAAGTAAAGTAGCATTGCAAAATCAGCCTTATATACAAGACAATAATGATTACTACACACTGTCTATAGAAATTTTAAAAAAATTTCCTTCTGCAATTGAAACACTGAGATTCCATCTATGTTACCTGTATGATACATATATATCTGCTAACACATTTTGGTATAATGCAATGCTAAAACAGTTCTGGGGCTGTAGGTGAATCTCAGAAGTATTTTTACTTTTCAGAAACAGAGGGCAGTAACTAGTGTGATAATAATTCTGTTGATTTTGTTTAGATTCCTTGATTGAGCAAAATGAAACCAAAAAGTTTGAATTTAATTCTTCATGTGCTATTCATATATGATATTGGCATATGGTATATTTTATAGTGACCATAACTAAAAGTCAAAATTTTGCAAGACAGCAAGAGCAAATGGGTATACTCCATTAAAATACTGCAGGGAAGGTTATCTGTCCTCTAACTATATATTAGAACCAGTCAGAAACCACTGATAAAACTGATAAAGCCTAAGAGAAATAATTTTCTTTTTAGAATTACAGAATATTTCAAGTAAGAAGGGACTCACAAAGAACATCAAGTCCAACTCTCTTCTCCTCTTAGGCCTACTTAAATCTACCTAAGGATGACCTAAACATTTTTGGGAGGAAGATACTCTAGTTCACTGAGTAACCATTAATTGTGGGAGAATTGGATGATTTGAGGTTACCTCAGGAAAACAGTACACCATCCAGGTAGGAAAGGTTTCATTAAAAAAAGCAAGTTCAACACTCTAAACACAAGTGTTTTTAAAAGGATACATAATTAAATTATACGAGGTGTGGTTACAGAATGCTGTTAGAGGATTGTAGATATACATTTTTTATTATCCATGAAAAATATATCCATATACATATATATATTCATGAGAAATTACCCATGAAAAAGCCATTTGGGTAAATATGAACAAAGATGAAAACCTGAACTCTGTCTCAGTAAGTTTCTAAAGCACAGCCCTCTATAAATGGAGAAGGTATAATGAAAAACTGCTCATCTCCTGTTGGGAGACACTTTAGAAAGGCTGCTGGCAAAACAGGGCAGACTGTCCTTCAGTTCTGCTACATCCAGTTTGTGTTCATAACAGAATTGTGTTGAGTCTTCTGTTTTAAAAGGTATAGAAATTCAAGAAATATACTGAAAAATTCACACAAGTTTTAAACTGCAATTTCGTTTAATTTCTATTAAAGTATTTTTAAATATTACAGAAATGTTGACTAATTTACTATTTCTCACAGTTCTATTATGGAGGCACAGGTGGAAAAATTTCTTCCCAAATATATGTATTTCATTGCACAGCAAAACTACCCAAAAGGTGAAATTGCAAAATTTAGTATTTTATCTACTTTTGGTTGACTGAAATGAATTGGATAAAAAGAAGCTAAGGCAACAGTCCAGGAATAAAGACACTTTTGGGAAATACTAAAGAGAATATAATTACATGTCATTTAATAACATAACAAACAAACATGACCTAGAATGCCTTCCAAATAAGTCTGGATTTATTTGAAACAAGGATTGCAAAAGTCAGCCTTTTTTGTTCTGACAGCACTATGCATCTGTGAACTAAAATTATGAAGAATTCAAACCATTTCTAAAACACAATTTTGTGAATTAATGTATCAAAAGAAAAAAAAAATTTAATTGGAATTTAGATTATTTATGTGTGTATACCCATGCATAAACACTTCTATATTTAATATACTGATAAATATTTTTTTGAACAAGATAAACAGATAAACTCAAATAGCACTATAATAATATCCTTAAACATATGGAAGATGACTGTTTCAGGAAACATTTTTTTATGGAAAAAAGCTTATTTTGAAGGCTTAATGGCATGATGTGAAAACTCATTACAGAACTAGGTATGTGGAGCAAGATTTGAGCAATGGATGCTTCACAATCACTGTTTCTGTCTTAGGATCAGTGCAAGAGAGCCACACTGCCAACAGCATAAAACATTGAGCACTTGGCAGTTTGAGTGAGAAAAGAGTGCTGCAAGGGCATTTTCCACGAGTCACACAACTTTAGCATCTAGTTAGCACAGTACATGTTCTTCTCTCTCTCTAAAAATATTATTAACCAGTTTGAAAATGCACATTTTCTCTTTTAAAGACTTATGTATTGTTGCAGGAAATATTAACCTGTCCCACAAATTGATAGCAAATATTTATTGCAGAAGCATACAATCGGACTTGTTCTGCATTCAGACAAGGAACTCAGTTCAGTCATTATTCTTCCTAAAGAAAGCTACTGGACCTAATTTTACTCAAATTGTGACAATATGTGTTATATTGGAGACATAGAAGACACTAGATTTTTCTGTCATTTCACTTGCATCTCAGTAAGACTTAAGAAAAACTCCAAAATCATGGAGAAGTTTATTATCTGATTGAGCTCAGATGGAGAATATCTGAAACTCTGCCAGGAACATCCAAAACAATGTGTGAACTACTGTTTTCTAAAAGACATATGCTTTGATTTAGAAGGCAAGTTTGAAAACAAGTAACACAGAGTACTGTGTGAAAATGAGGAAAGAACAGGACTTACTATTTATTTCTCCTCTCTCCCTATCACATCACTAAAATAAATACAAGCATGCCTGGCTACAGAGCAGTAAAGACTGCGTTTTAGACTTAAATAAGCGATGAGCTTTTAATATGAATCACTAAATTATAGGTTTCATAAAATAGTTTCCACAATACCTGAAAGGCATCCTGATGTTCATTCTTTCTGCATATTTGCACAATGTCTCCCATGGACAGTGAATTTTAACGAACATGATATCACTGTTGGTAACAGCTGGCTGTAAAGAGCAGTAACATGCAAATACATATTAATAATTTAAACCTATAGCAACCACCCTTCTAGAAGCATTCTTCACGGTCAAATTCTAATTTTAGGCCCAAACTGGGCACGCAGCTCTGAAAATAAATGCTCTTCTGGACAAAGGAAAATCAGCAACCTTTTTTCTCTTACAAACTCTGTAGTATGTGTAGATTAGTGGGACAAAAGGAATCTGTAGGGAAAGATCTTTGGTCATGAACATAAGTAAAGACTTTATGCAACACCTTTTTACATGGAATAAATTTTACATAGAATTAATTTTAAATCTAAAAAAAATCACCTTAGGTAAGCAGGTTGAAGACCATTCAGTGTGTCTCAAATTAAAGGAGAAGTGTGGTCAGCTGCTAGAGACATGAAAAGAGATGAGAGAAGGCTGCACTCTGCCAAAATAGTAACTCAAGGGAATGGTTTAGTAATTGAGATATCTGCTGGGAACTTTTAAATGTGCATGAACTGAGATGTTTTTTTGATAAAATCACAATGTGTACTCTACACAAATGTTTTTCATCACTGATTTATTTGTACATAAAACAAGAGTTCCAGCCTTACAGATTTCTATATTCATCTCCTCTTATGAACACTTCAGTTCCCCACCCTTCCCCCAGATGTATTTGCTTGAGATTTTATAACTAGATATTTTGATATTTGAGTTGAGTCGGATTAAAGCCTCCAAAAACTTGTGTTTGCAAGGTTTGGTAAGTAAAGGTAAAAGAAAATGTAGCTGAAGTGTTAATAACACTTTAAATGTCTACAATTTTACCGATCAGTTCCATCAAGTCATATCACAGTTCCAAACTACTAGCTCAAATATTTTACTTTCTCAAAAGATGTGGCTAAAATAAAATACTTGTGGAAAACAAAACATTTCAGGTCTTATAAAACCATTTGTTTCTGAATGTCAATAATTCTGGACTGACAAAAGCTAAGATTTTACTATTTATTCAAATTGGAAGACAACCAGATATTTTTACTACTACACTGTAACAATTCCTAAAAGCCTTAAAACCATATTTTAGTCAGGTTAGTTATTTATGAATATTCAACATGCTATATATTGTGAGCTATAACTTGCAAGCTCATTGCTTAAACACAGAACATGTATTACAATTCTACTGAGATGAAAAATCAAAACAAAACACACATGAACAATAGGAGCTTACATCAGAATAAACTAAATATATACCTGTTCTTAAAGTAATTTTTGAGACAGCAAAAATCCAAGGCTGTCTTCCTTTCCCTGGCTCTATTTTCTTTCATTTTTTATATTAATACTGCTATTACTAGCCATGGGTTAACCAGAACAGTGTCAACCTTAACCCCTTGAAAAACAGTGAGACATTTAACATCAGGCATTCTGCTGAAAGACATAGAGGTTATGTATTAAAGCAGCAACATGGGTTACTGAAGCTTCTTCTGTTCTGCAAGTGTGAGAAGCTGGATCTTTTCCATTTGTACTGCACTACACCTCTGTGTACCTTCTTTATCTTTTGTATTGCCAAATAATTTTAAACACACACTATGAAAATATTCTTTTTATTAGTTTAATACAGTTAAGCAGATGATGGGAGCAGCCTGTCTGGAAAGGCTTGTAATTGTGTCTGGAATCTTTTTTCAGTTCAGTAAAGTATGATACTATTATAAAGGATTTTTTATGCCACATAAGCTACAGGACTCACCTCTCGTTCTAACATCAGCCCTTCTGCTCTCAAATTCTTCTCAAATGTGCTTCTTTTTTCTACCTGTGGACTTGATTTCTTGTAGACCAAGATGTAGTCAATACGCTTTTTGCCATCTTTGAAGAAGAGTCCTGATGATACCATGGCATCACTCTAGCAAACATTAAAGAAAAATACTCTAAATATAGCACCTATAAAGATGAAGAGCCCCATCATGAACTGTATATAATACAGCACTTCCTAAACCGTGAAAATATCCACATATCTGAAGAAGGAATATGCATCAAATTCAGAACAAAAAAGTGATACGCATCAGTTGCTCAGGACTGTAAATTAATTAGAACAAAACAAAATAAAATAGCTTCACCCATATTCCAGTTATTTCAGCTGTGCAAAAACCTTAAAACTCTTGTATGGTGTGTATTGATATGAACTTTTGTTAATCCCTACTTTCAAGTGGGAATTAAAAAGAAAAAATCAGTCAAGTCAATTAAAGCAATTTTCTCAGCTTTGTACTTGTCCAAATTTTATAGAATGAACATATTTTTATTTTTTCCAAGACAGACATAAATCTAAAAAATTAAAAAATAAATGCTATTGATCAGAATGGTTGCATGGATAGTCTAGTTGAAGTGCTTTTTCAATACCATGTTAGTAATGTTTAAATCTTGATTACTTCCTTCCCACCATGCTTGCAAAGACAAGGAATTACCTGACCTTGATATGGAAAACCCTGCTTTGCATGCTGCTGCTGCTGCTAAAGCAAGCTATTTTTGCACTCTGTGCTTTGCATGATTCAGAACAGAAACCAAACCAACAGGTGACAGACTACAGAATCATAGAATCATTAGGTTAGGATGGACATCCAAGATGACTGAGTCCAACCAAATATCACCTTGACAACTAAATCACAGCACTAAGGGCCACATCCAGTCATGTCTTGAACACTTCCAGAGATGCTGACTCTACCACCTCCCAGGGCAGCCTGTTCCAATGCTTAACTTACTGCTTTCAGTGAAAAAGTTCTTCCTGATGTCCAATCTGAGTGGACTCCCCTGGTGCAATTTGAGGCCATTTCCTCTTGTCCTGTTGACTGGTAGAAGAAGCTAACCCCCATCATGCTACAATCTCATTTCAGGTAGCTTTAGAGAGAAGAAAGGACTCCTATTTGGATTATTTAGATATGAAATTTATAATACTCAGAGTTATACCCAATAGGGACACTCTCTATTCATAAATAGAACCATGTATCAGTGCATGATATCAGCATTATAAATACTGGATACCAGCTCACTTGCTTCTATGTGAAATGTTTTTCTTACGCCCACATCTTTCACTGCCAGCTTTCTACACATTTAGCACTTCTGAGAACTCCTCAGTCTGCAAAACCTAAAGCATTCTAACAAGATCCTTCCTCCTTCTCTGCTTTTTTAACTCCCAAAATAAGAAACAAAACCAGTCTGTCTCAGACCATCTACCATTACAAAGGAGTGTACCATCTTATACCTGGGAACATTAAGTACATTAAGCTTCAATTTAGAATCACAGACCTTTAAGATCATTGAGACCAAGCATTCACCCAGCACTACACCATGCCCCCAAGGATCACATTTCACATCTTTAAATACCTCCAGGGATGGGGATTCCACCACTTCCCTGTGCAGCCTGTTCCAATGCTCAACCACCCTTTCAGTGAAGAAATTTTCCCTCACAGCCAATCTAAACACATCCTGGTTTAATTTGGGGATGTTTTATCTTGTCCTGTCACTTGTTATTTGGAAGAGACTGACCCCCATGTGGCTAAAACCTCCTTTCAGGTAGTTGTAGAGAGCAGTAACACTCTGCCTGAGCTTCCTTTTCTCCAAACTCATAACTCCAGCTTCCTTGTGCCCTGGCTCCCTCTTAGAACACACACCATCACCTCAAGATCTTTCTCCATATTCAGATAAATAATATCTGAAATCCAAATTAAGGCAGTTGAGAGTGTCAGCCAAGACTGTTAGTGCAATGAATACAGGGTCTGTCACCCCTTCTAAGAATTCTGAATGGGAATGGTAGTAAAAACATTATTCTTTATTATTTTTTATAATGTTACAGATTTAATTATCTAAATCTGTAAGATGCAGAGATTTGAAGGTGAGGTAGTAGAGTGAAGGTTCAAAAGTGCAAGTTTGAATATGCAAGTTTTTAAAACACAAACTTTTTCAGGTTCGAGACATGAGCAACCAATCTGCTCTTCAACAATTTTTAATTTTAAATACAGATTCCTGTACAAGTATTTTACAAAACCAGACCAGGGCTGCTTTTATGCACAATCAGATACAAAAAGCCTGGCCAAAACTCCCCCAAAGGGGAGATCTGGAACTTCTCTAATACATTTTCTGCTCATTCAGTTTCTGTACAGGCATGCTGCAAATTACATCTACCTTTTGTAATACACTTCTACTACTTTTTGTTGGATTATTATTTCTAGTCTTTCTTTCCTTATTTCTGAAACATCTGATTTTCTTCAATCTTAGAAAAACATGCTTTATTTCTCAGATTAATGACAGTAGCCAAATATGACCTCAGATTCATCAACATCAAACAGAAATTTTTGGGGTCAATGTTAAAGACACAATGAGCAGTGAAGACAGTAGAAAGAAATCTTCTATCCCTGTTCATCCCAGACCACTTTCAGTGAACAACCCCCACAGGTTGAGAAGTGCAATAGTAAAGCCACTTACCACATCCATGCAGTGAGCCTGGCCTATACTACACTGATTTCATGACTGATTCACTTTAATGCTACTGGCACCATTAGTTTCACTTCTGTGCTATTCACAACCAATGCTGACCATCTATATTAGCAGTAATATAGTAATTAATTAAGCAATTAAGTATCAGGAAAAGAATTTATATGGTTGATTTGTATGGATGATTTAGTTGGGTTTTTTCAGTTGATCTGAAGGAGCTCCATAACATGAAAGGACAACAGGGAGCAGTAATTTCAATTAAACATGTTAGTCAGGGTGTATTATCTATACCTACCACAAGGAACCAGCTTTTAGTACAGGGGGCATTCAGGCACAGATCATTTATTCTTTATCTGCTGGTTTAGACCAATACATTAAACCATTCTTTCACCTTTTTCAACAGAAAAAAGGATCAGAAAAGGAGAAAAGCATCAGAAGAAATATTTTGTGCAAAGATCTTATTCTCCTCTACTCTGTTTAAGATTCAACATTCCCTTATCCTCTCCATCCTCTCCATCACCTTACTCCTCCAGATTTTCTGAAACAGTATCCATCTGTTAAGCTTTCTTACATTTACACATATGAAAACTCATTTGTTTTGAAAAACTCCTTTTAGAGTACTGCAATATAGTTCATATAGTAAACTCTACAATTTAACTTCATCTTGTTCTTTCAAAGTTTTTAAATAGAAGAACTTCAACCGTGAGACTGTGAGGTACCACTTCAGTCAAGCTTGTTCATTATGCAGAATTATTATACACTTCTTTACATCAGAATAAACTATTATCTGAGGCTTTGATATTATAGATCTGCTGCAGTTTCTTGTTTTTATTATGTGTCAAGAGTTTTAGTTGCTTCATAGCTTGTGGTTAGTTAAATAAATCACATGACACTCTGCTTTGAAGTCTGAAAGTGTAAAATTCAAAACACTGCCACTATCATTCAACTGGTTTACACAAGGCAAAACACACTGACCAATTTATCCTAGGAAAAGGAGTTCTGGCTCAAGGAAAAAAAAACAGGTGGAAGTACAATGCAAATATTTACCAAAGCTATATAATAAAAGGAGTTTATATTTCCATTCAATTGTGTAAAAAGAAATTCCTTGGATTTAGCCAACATGGAGGGATTTTTCAATAAACTATTTTTCAGATTCTAATTAATTAGTAATGCCCTTTTTACTAAGTGGGAACATCTGGTTTACTGGATCTTTCTATCCTCACTTAATTTAAGTAGCCCAATTCACAGTAATTGTAACAATTTCAACTTCTTTTATGTCTCTATTGTTCTGATCTGTAAATTAAACTTCTATCATTTTTTCACCCCATACATAGAAACAAATATTTCTAAAGAGTGAGTTGAAACCATTCTCAAAACAGGAGCAAATTTTAGATTAATATAAGAGTAAATTACATGGTATTCACTGTATCCTAATTTAATACTATGTTTTCTTTGTTTTCCACCTTATAAGGGTAAAAAGTTTAAGATAGTGAACAATATGCATTACTTATGTAAATTTAGAGGTTAATGAGACCCACACAAAGGTACAATGGATATGTTGGAACCATTTATTTCACCTTCATTCCACCACTGACAACTCTCCTCAAAACTAACATAACAGCAAGGCTTAAAGGCTGACAAAAGCTCTATAGGTGTTTACATTTTAATGAATTTTAAGAAAATTCCCATCCACTTGTTCACATATTTGCAGCTTAAACCGTGCAACAGTTAAATATCAAGTACATTCAAACCACTATGAAAGGTTCCAATTTGTTTATACATTAAAGGTACTGCCTAGGTGAGAGCACGTAACTAAAAAACAGGATATTTCCTTCTACCACCTGCCCAGAGTTCAGCCAATGTCAGCTCAGATTTCTATGCAACTTTAATTTCAATGAAATTAAAACACATTTCAATGTGTTACCTCAGTAACACACTGTCCAGCAGCCCCCAAATCCATACAATCTTTTAAAACCCAAAAGACCTCTGATAAGGATTTTCCACATCTAATTTCTGGGAGAACTGCTTTGCTCTTCTTTGTTTTTAATTTGGGACAAATTTGCTTTATTTGATGCTTCATGGCTCTAATTCTACAATTAAATATATATAGTTTCTTAAGCTGTGTAGAAACTTATCATTACTTTAATAAAATTGATGAAACTTTTTTACTCTAATATCCCCTTAAATTTTCTGTACCCCTAAGGTATATTATAAAAATGAAAAATCACTATGTTTAAAGCAATCACTATTCCTCTTTTCCCAAACATGTACATTCCTCCATTTACAACAGACTTTTTTACTAAATTTGACAATTAGCTAGTCAGACATGACTATTAACATAAAATATGAATGTAGATTAAATACTATTACATAAAAATATACTAATATGCTACTATGCATATGCTATACATTGAAATA